AATATATATTTAATTGGGGGTTTTGGCAAGAAAACAGACAACATTGAGCATTAAATACGATATTTCCTGGCATAAACAGAAGCTCTTGGCAGCTTTGATTGCAAATTATTATCAGTATTAGCTTTAAAAGGCTTTAATGGTTTTGAAGTGCAAAGGTGTAAATGAGTGCAGCCAGACAGTTTTACACGTTTTCTCACAAAAATAAAAAAAAAGAAACTATGTTTCTGCTTCAGGTTTCTTCTGATTTTTGTTTAAAACAGTCATTGATGAGAAAATTGATCAGGAAATCAATGAGGATGTAAATTATTAGTAATTTCACTTAAATGTTTGTCTGTCGATGCTGCCTTTGTTTGATTCTAGACTGTTAGTAAAAGTGTCAAAACATTTTTTAGTTATTAAAGTATTTATGAAATAAAATTTGTTCAAACCTAAATCTATGGTGTTCAAAATGCTAAAATCTGTTGTAACTCACAAATAATGTGTACGAAAGTACATGTTAAATTTTCTTATATTGGAATAGAAGAAGAAAATGTTTGAGGTTTTAATGCTGACAGATAAATGTCATGTTTATGCGTTTATGGTGGGGGGGAGTAAGTGCACACTTTAAATTTAACATTGTTCCATTTTCATCATAATAACTTGCGCACTAATGACGCTGCTGTATTTAAAAAGGAAAAACCTAGTATTCCCCCTTCGCCCTGCAAAACAGAGTTTTAGACTAAAATAAGGTTATAATGAAGAGGGAAGGATTTATAGCTTTTTTGGTCAAATTTAAAAGGTGACATTAAGCACAGTCTTGTGATGTCACAGTTTCATTAGTGAATGACTCAGCTGCTACCACATCAAATTTGAGCTTAGTATCTGTTAAACTGACCGAGTTCTAACCATTTCTGTGTAGGCTAATGTTGATTATCTGTCAGAAACAACTTGAATTTAAAGTGCCTGTGACATGCATATTCTTCAAATATAAAAAGTCAAAGAAAACAGCTTCATATTGAAGAAACGACATAATACATGTGGTTTTACCCATTTTGTCCCATAATTGGCATATTTTCTTTTGAACTTGTCTCAGCCAAAATGAAACAGGAAGTGATAACAAAGGGGAACTCTTTAAGAAAGAGAACTCTCTGGTACTTGTTTATTAAATCGTTATTTGAACTTTGACTCTTCTTCATCTCTCTCTCTGGTAGTGATTCAAAATGATCCGAAGAAACATCAGATTCTTCTCTACAGTTTGTCTTATTAGCAGTTGTAGCGATGCTCTGTTCACATGCAGACATTCCCCTTCGACATCACTTCCTGTTATTTCTCATGCAAATATCTCAACAACTGTTTATCTCAACAGCATAAAAATTGTTTTGCAATATGTTATCTGTGTTATCTTTCCAAAAATGAATTCATATTTATTACAAAATATTGATGTCATGGGCACTTTAGGGACTCTAGATATAGTACAATGAGTAACACTTGGATTCTGCCTTGCAAATAAGTTTTGGCTACATCCACACCAAATTTAGGCTCAACATTTATAAAATTGACTGAAATATAGTCAATTTTGGGTTATCTAAGGTCATTTGATTGCGGCGGCCATCTTGGATTGGGCCCAGTTATGGATGTACAGCCAATGATTTCCAGAAAGTCTTATTACAATACATCCAATGGTTCAATAAATATCTTGCTAAGAGACAAGCTGAATGGTTTTTGAAAAGTAATAAAAAATATTTAATCGTTTTCTTTGTTCAACTCTTCAGATGGAGTGGAGTTTTTGTTTTTGTTTGTCCTCTCATGGCAGTAACTCCCTCTCTCTCCTCAGGACTTCGACCATCACTGTCCCTGGGTGAACAACTGCATAGGACGGCGGAACTACCGCCACTTCTTCCTCTTCCTGCTGTCATTAAGTGTCCACATGGTGGGAGTTTTCTCCTTCGGCCTCATCTTCGTCCTCCACCACAGAGAGAAACTGGGAGAACTGCACACCACCGTCACGTATCCTGTCACTGTGAAAAAAACAAAACGCTGCGTCAGCAGCCGCACATTTGTTTTCCTGTTTGTTTTTGTTTGTTTTTGCACGATTTTTGCAAACTTTATCATTTGAGTCATTATATGTTGCAGCAAAACATTCAGCTTATTCAGGAGATGGGGTTTTGTAACTTTTACATTCACCTTTATTTACAAATATTTTCTACATGGAAATACACTGAATTCTTCATTGTTCTGTTTGAAACCTGCTTCAGAGTACTTGCTCTATTTTATGTTCTTGTGCTATCTTTAGTTGTAGCTACGCTTTTACTACCTTTAAGCTTTTAGTCAGCATTTGCTATTAGCTTTTACATAGCCTTTTGATACTTTATAGCTAAACTTTTGCTGCTTTTTTTAGCTTAAAGCTAGATGTTTGCTGCTCTTAGCTTTTATCTAGGTTATTGCCACTTTTAGGCTTCACTAATGTTTGGTTATCTAGTATTTACTCCCAGTGTTTAGCTAACATTCTGCTATTTTAAGGTTTCAGCTAGTGTTTTGCTACATACGCCTTTTAGCAAGCATTTTACTTATTTTAACTTTTAGCTAGTTTTTTTCTCATTTGAGCCTTTAGCTAGTGTTGTTCTCCTTTTAGCTTTCACAATTCAGTTTTACTTCAGCAAATTTCAGCAGTCGTTATGCTGCTTGTTTTATTTTACAATGAGATTATGTTGTGTTAACAACATTGAAGCTAGTAGATTAGCTGTAAAAAGACATTTTATTACCAATAATTGGTTGTTTACCTTGACTTTTCTTGTCTCCAGCATGGTGGTGATGTGCATAGCAGGGCTTTTCTTTATTCCAGTCATGGGTCTCACAGGTTTCCACATGGTGCTTGTGGCTCGAGGTCGAACAACCAACGAGCAGGTGAGGGAGCTGATGAAGAGCTTTGTAATCAACGTTACACAACAAAAGATTTTCTTATCATTTTTTGTGTTGTTTGAATAAATTTACATAAGTAAAAGTGGGAAACAGAACTTTTGAGAAGCAGCACAAATGGTAGAGACCAGCAGAAATCCAGTCTTGTTTTATGATTAATCTCTGCTGTATTTATGCACCGACCCTGTGTGTGTGTGTGTGTGTGTGTGTGTGTGTGTGTGTGTGTGTGTGTGTGTGTGTGTGTGTGTGCACGTGCGTCCATGTCCCCCCCACAGCCGACGAGGATGAGGACAAGGACGACGATTTCCGGGCGCCGCTCTACAAAAACGTGGAGATCAAAGGCATTCAGGTGCGGATGAAGTGGTGCGCCACCTGCCACTTCTACAGGCCGCCTCGCTGCTCGCACTGCAGCGTCTGTGACAACTGTGTGGAGGTGTGTGAGCACAAAGGCAGCCACGCAAACACACACACACACACA